GAAAATTTTTGTATGTCCGGAAAAAATTTTTGACCCCTAAAATGGTACACTGACCGAAATTTTTTTGGCGACGGGGGGGGAGGTCGCCAAAAAATTTTTCAGTGAAAAAAAATTTTTCAGTGAAGGTGCCCTTGGTGTGCGTCCGCCCCCCTTTGCCCTATTATCGTTCCGGCGTCCCTGAGCGCGCACACTTGCAGGAAATGTTCATTCGTGACAAAAAATATTCAACACGTTGGATATTTGTCTTACTGGTCACGAGTGACGAAAAACTTACAAAAGTGCACCGCACACGAGAGCTTTCTCCTAACGCCAACAGTCACGAATGACATTTTGCTAAGCACATAGCTCTAGTGTGCGCCGGGCTTTAGCGTGACTTGAACTTTAAGCCTAGTGCCGCCCACGAAAGAAACTTGCTGAGCTAACCGCCTCGCGTGGCAGCTAGCTCAGCAAGTTCCTCTCGTGTGCGGATAGTTTTCGTTAGGATTGACCCCTCCAGGCCTTGAGAAAAATATCTATCGTGTTTGATATTTTTCACCTCGCGAGGAAAAAATCTCAACATCTGCGGATGTTGCGATCCTAGTGCTGAGCTGCTTGAATCAGTTAGCCAATGAAATTAATCATAGTTTCTTCTTGTGATTTTGAACATAGTTTTTCCAACGTGTGTGCATGGTGCGGAAAATGCATAGCTGAGCTAGCCACCACGCGAGGCGGTTAGCTCAACAAGTTTCCCTCGTGTGCGGCAGGCTTTAAGACTTTCCTTTGCTTTTTCTTCGCACACTTCTTTTTGCGACAACTTCGTTCGATTCTACTTCTTTTCTACTTGCAATTGGACTCATTGGTGCTTGTAAGACATCTGATACTTTTCCCAGCAATTTATCGCTTGGCCGTTTATCTTCGTAATACCGTACTTTTGTGTCCCGTTCTCGCCATAATTGTTTAATTGCTCATCAAATTTGCCACTCTCGTTCAGTTGGGTTGCATATGTTACGTAAGCATAAATACACAAATAATTAAACTGCACTCTTCCGTTGAACATTATTTCTTTGCCTTCAATTCCTTCTTGGGTGCAGAAATTCTCTAAGACTGTTAGAGCATGGTCACTTTTAAGTTTTACTGTATGGGATATAGAGACCAATGACCCCTCGTGACCGTTTAACTAATTCTCGGGACTCTACAGGGTGTATTAAAAAAAGCGCAACCTTGGAATTTCCCAAGCCTGGGAATTTAAAATAGCATAACTCTCAAAATTGCTGCACACACGAGTGCATAAAGCAAAATTTATGAATTTATTTAATGCATAACAACAGTAATATGATCTATTAGCAATTCGATTTCAATTCCCAGGGGCTTAAAATCTTTTATGCTTAAGAATTGCAAAGTGATTTCTTAGGAAATTGCGAGGTTGCGTTTTTTTTTTTATACACTTGTATATCCCATAGAGCACACGTGACCATGATTTAATTGTGATGCTAATTTCAAGGGTTTATTCAAGTGTGAAGATAATAAATTTAAATAATGATAAATCTAAACTTCCAAATCTTTGAGTTGAGATTATGGAGAAGTTTTCGATCAAATCCATCGTTCTAAAATGGCATTACTTTTGGTGCGTTGGGAGTGTGGTTGTCTACTCAGAATTCAGTTATCTATACATGAAACAACTTGGTTTAAGTCCACGGCAGATTGGATTTACAAATCTTATGGGAGTTCCGAGTCTATTTATACCATTATGTCTATTCATTGGCGACAAATTTCGGGCGCGAAAACTTTTGGTTACTATTGGATTATTTTTTCTGCTCGTATTTTATTTTCTGCCGCTGCTTCCTTTAATTTCGTCACCAGCGCCTTCTTGTTTAACATCAAACAAGTCGATAGCGTCGAGATCTAAACATTCTGTCAATGGTTCAGTGCTTTCAATAAATTCTAGATATTTCTCTACAAATAACTTCACCGACAATGCTGACTCGGCGCGTCGAACCGAGAAAGAGACAAATTATTCTGAAAATGTTTCCCGAGATAGCAAATTGTTTCTCCTAATGGTTGTGTCCAGATCAGCATTTGAATGTCCACATCGAATGGTCATAGCTCTAGCAGATGTGGTCACCATTGCATACCTTAAAGAAAAAGGGAAAATTACGGCGCATATTTTATGTGGAGTCATATTGGTGGGGGTATTTCGATATTCACTGTCGCTATGTTGGCATTGTTTATCAGAATTAACATTTGTGGGACAGAAGCCTATGGTTATTTTACAGCGTATATCGTTGCAGGTTGTATGGTGCTACTTTCTATGCTTTCTCTGCTGTGGTTTCGGTATGAATACGACGAAAAGAAAACTATTAACTGTATGGTCAGAAGTAAAATCAGCATTATGCAATGCTCATTTTGCACTCATGTTCTGCGTCTTATTTCTTACCGCAATTCCTGTAACGTTTCAGATATTCTGGGCGTTTTGGTATTTAGACGGATTGTCTGCAATTCCTTTAATAGTGGGTATAGCTGGGTTGGTTCGTCGACCAGTGCGGGCAGGTTGGGTGCTATTGACTTGTGAGTTGCTGAAAAGAATTGGTGAGCTGAAGGCTATATGCGTCGCGTTGTTTCTGTTTGTTCTATCCTTTTTGGTTCTGTCCTTCACACGGGTTCCATGGTTTGTGCTGGCTATCGACATGTTTCAAGCGGCTGCTTACGGACTGGCAGTTTGTAGCTTCACAGTGCATTTTTCAAAAGCAGGTTCACAAGCAAGTTCAGGAGTTATTCGCGGTAAGTCCTTCTTTAACTCATTTCCAAATTTATAAAAATTTAAACAGGGAAAAGTAAAAATTTGAAATTCTCAGACACAGCGATGTCGGAACTCGGGTGCAGGTCGCAACTTGTATTCAGAACTTTGTCGGTGCAATGCGGGTGCAGAAGATTTAACACGTCCGGATTACATACGTAAATTAATTCCTTGTGTCTGCATGCATTGATTTGTTTGTTTTTTGATTTTAAACTACGTTATACGTAGGTAACAAGCCCTTTGATTTTCGCTTGTGCCTATATGTAAAAAAAATGCCTATTTCAGATCGAGTTAGAGTTTGGTCGTGTGTCGTTAAAAATCGTGTGTCGTTAAAAATCGTGCGTCGTACGCGTGCGGTCGTGGGTTGAAAAATCCCCTAAGTTTATTTTCGATTTAGGGGCAATGTACAAGCAATTCTTGTCTGATCGAGTAGAATAATTATATGCTTATCATTAATTAATATTCACAGCAAACCCTAACCATAACAAAGATCGTCATGAATCAGCGACTAACCATTGAATTTGTATTTAATCGTTATTCTAATTTAATGTTTATGATCGCTTGTTCATGACTGTCATTGTTGTGGTTGGGGTTTGTCTGTTTATGGACGTAGTATTAGTGAGCTGAAACCAAAAATTTCCCGCCAGAATTAATTCTTCAAGCATTTTCACTGGCCAAATAGGGTGTATAAAAGACGTATACGGACTGAGGAGCAGTTTATAAACACATTATTGCTACCACAACTAATACCCTAAATTAAAGTATACTAGCCTATAATATCTGTAAAATAAATATGTTTTCAACCGTTCGAATTCTTAGCATGCAATAAAATTGTTTATTATATAAACATAAGTGTTATATAGAGTTTTTGGCTACTGAGAAAAATCTTATTTAAACACACGTATAAAAAATACGATATTTTACGTGTGAAAATATCATTTGTTGTAAAACGCATTGCCACGGACGTTTTATTGTTTTTCACTGAATTTTGTTTATATAATAAACAGAAAAATACATGGGTGCTTGAAAATACCATATTTATTTCTCGTGTTGAACGAACATATCTCACTCGTTCGCT